TACCTAATAAAGTGGCCGGTGAGTGTAGATGGCAATCTTAAACTTCTACTTAAACAGTTTATGGACAAAAAAAAGTTAATCTCAAGATAAGCAGTCAGTAATTTTTTTACCTCTCTGCTGGGAGTTCGAGCATTGGTTCTGCCCTGCCTGGAGGCGACTGCTGCTCCTTTCTGTTCTGTTCCGGTGGACTCCCGGTTCGATTCCTGCTGCTCTGCCGAGGGATCCCGGCTGGGGTTATTAATTTATAAAAAACAAAAACAAAAACAAAAAACTGTAAATATACACTATGCACTTTAAGAACTGAAATTGTCTAGAGCTGTTTTAAATGAAATTTCTTTTTCTTTACATCCGTGTACACAAAATGACAAAATAAATCTAAGTATAAGTCTAAAACATAAACTTCCTGGTCAATGAAAATGTCCACAATCATTCCTCTGACACCAGTAAAGTAAAAAAAAAAAAAAAAAAACTTAAGCCAAACTAAAAGAAAGTCCAGATAAGTTTCTGTGTTTTTGTTTCTTTTTTTTCCTTTTTTTTTTTTTTGGGGGGTATGTGTTCAACAGTTGAGTAAAAGTACTGAGCTCAGCTAAACATCAATCAGCTCCCCTCAAACTTTGCCCAATCCAAACCTCTGAGCTTAAATTCAATTATAACAACATTATATCCCCAATACTTCTAAAAGCTGCTGAGAGGCTTTCTGGCGTCTCTCCTCCGTCTTCATCACACTGCTTTCACACCACTTCCTCTCTGAACAGGTGCAGGATGCTGGTGTATCAGATATGTGCATCATGTTGGTTTAAATTAGCAGAAAATAAAGTCTTCCTGTGCGATTGAGACTCATGTCTTTGAGATGAGTTGAATCACTTGTGTATACTGCATATATATCAGGATGAAGGGTGAAAAAATTCCAACAGGACAGGTCACACTACTTTAGTTCTATAGATTCATTCTTGTTCTACATCATTTGGGATTGAATGACTTTACAGGGATGGAAGTTTTGGGCTCTGTGTTCCTCCAAGTGGTCCAATAATTATCTAACTCAATCAGAGTAGGTTTGGCTGCTGTCACTTGAAGCTATGTCTTCATAGCTCTGGGTATGCTTAGGGATGTTATATATACGGCCATTATTATGCCATTTGGTCAGTTTTGAGGCAGTGGGGCATTATAAAGATATATATAATGTAGATGAGTTGTAATGCTGATGTCGATGAATGTTTTCAGCATCATCAATAAACCTGGAATGGCCTGTTTTTTTTTTTCCAGACATAAAATAATACATGTTGCATCACCAAATATGTAGGAGGGATATGCTGATACACTTTAAGCTGAGTATTTTTTTATGATTTAAAAATCAGGGG